AGCAGCAGCAGCAGCACCACCATCGTTATCGTCATCATCGTTAAAACTTTGTAAAAGAACAGAGACTGGGATAGTTTATATGAATTGTCTTCTTGGATAAAATTTTCAATATACCAACTTTCAGAACTTCGTTGTGATCACACGAATAACTTTTTCAGGGAACAAAACCTCCTTCTGGTCGTAAACATCAAGGTTGTCGGTGTTGTTGTCTCTTCGTGTTGTCGTTGGTTGAGATGTGTCGTAGTCTGTGGTAGTGTTATATGTTTAGGGGGGAAAATGTCTCTGGTTGTGTTGTATAATTAGGAAAACTATGTCTGTAGTATTGTTGTACGTTTAGGAAAAAATTTGTCTGTGACTGTGTTGTATGTTTAGGAAAAAAATTGTCTGTGACAGTGTTGTATGTTTAGGAAAAAACTTGTCTGTGGTTGTGTTGTATGTTTAGGAAAACTGTCTGTGGTAGTTTTTGCTGTATAATTAGGCAAACGTCGTCTTTGATGTTGCGACCAACGACTGTGTTGTAGCAGTTAAGGACATCGTCGTCGCCTGCTGGAGACTAGTGCTGGGCGGCCAGGTTCCCGATTATTGGAAGCTAGGAATCGTAGGAATCGACTCCGAACCCAATTACTTACTTTCTTATGATGCAATTTCTTCCGGCGGTTACCTGGTTGGCTTCGAACATCTTCAGGATTTAGGATAACCTTGATTTCGGAACACTACGAAGCACCAACTCTTATTTTTCAAAAATAAATTCTAAAAACAGAAGAAGATTTTAATGATTAAAGTACATGGTAACCGTTGGTTTACGTAAAAAGAAGTCGGAACTTTTCCTACGTAGCATTAATCGTGGGAATCGGTTCCGCACTCGATTCTTCGCCCAGCTCTACTGGAGAAGGGAGTTCGATTCCTGTGTGGGGGAAAAGTTTTCATCGAGTATCTCGATCTTTCCAACGGGGGTGTTGTATCCCTTGCAACCCGAGTTGGCCCTACCTTTAGAAATCCGCCTTCTAAATGACCATAACTGTTGATGACGACGAAAACTCGAAAAGAATTGCAATGTTGTTGATAAAGGCCAGCCTCAGCGGACGATTGTGTAACGGGCGTCTCATCCACATTGAGCGCCAGATCTGAACCAGAAATCGGTTATCGTGGCTCCTCATTCATTTTCCTGCTCGATTAATCTAAAAAATATAAACAATTACATAATCCTGATCTTTCCTCATCATTCTTTCGGTTAGGCTCTCCAAATAAGTTTCTCTAGGTCCACCCCTGCCTAGTTTGCCTTCAATCTTACCGGTGAGAGCTGGGTTTCAAGGTCCATAATATATTTCTATTCAAGGGTCCCAAAAACTGGATTTGTCTCTTTCTTATTATTTTGATCAGCGAGCGGCCCACCCGGCCTTCTTCAAAATACTACTTCATTTGATTTCTTTTGGTCATCCACTTATGTTTCATTCCCATCACATTTCTCATTCTGCCCCCC